CCTGGTCCGGCAGCAGGGGAACCCCCTGGTCTCCGGAGCCTCTACATGGCCCTGAAGCTCCCAGATGGCTCCTATGCCCTCAATGGTGAATATACGCTGATACCCTCCGCCACAGACGTGGTACTGCCGGGGGCCGTCAGCTTGCGCTACAGCGGGGCCACTGCAGACTCGGAGACACTGTCAGGCCACGGGCCCCTGGCCCAGCCCTTAACGCTGCAGGTCCTGGTGGCTGGCAACCCCCAGAACGCACGCCTCCGGTACAGCTTCTTCGTGCCCAGGCCAGCCCCTTCGACGCCACGGCCCACGCCCCAGGACTGGATGCACCGCAAGGCGCAAATTCTGGAGATCCTCCGGCGGCGTTCCTGGACGGGCAGGAAATAACCTCACCATCCCGGCTGCCCTTCCTGGGCACCGGGGCCTCGAACTTAGCTGGGAAAAAGAGGAGGCTCTGCAGCTGCCTCACGCGGAGACACAGTGGGAGAGGGGCTGTGAGGGTGAGCCCCGCCCCCTTCTCTGCCCTGATGCGCAGGCTGGCCCTGCCCTGGTTTCCTGCCCTGGACGGCAGTGATAGGTGGAAGGGGCTGGGAGACAGTCCCCTATCTAAACTGCCCCCTCTGCCCTGCTGGTCACAGGAGGGAGGGGGAAGGCAGGGTGGGCCCCAATTGTATTTATTTAGTATTTATTCACTTTTATTTAGCACCAGGGAAGGGGATGAGGGCTAGGGTCCTGGGGAAACTGACTGCCTGCCCTCAGGGCCCTCACCCCAGCTAGGAAATCCAGGGTGGTACTGATAGGTGCAAGTGATCTGTGTGTGTGTATGTGTGTGAGAAAATGCGTGTGTGTGTGTGTGTGTGTGTGTGTGTGTGTGTGTGTGAGGTTCATCCTGCCCAGCTTTCCTCTCTCTGAATTTTATTTTCTGGGAAAGGAATATTTTCAGGGAGTAAGGGATTATCATATTTTTTAAATATAAATTGAATTCTGCTATTTATATGCTCCTTTTGGAGTCAGACAAATGTGGGTTGCACCCTGGCTCCACATCTCTGAACATTTGTTTCCTCATTTGACAATAATAATACCTCCCTTGTAAGGATTAAATAATGTAAATAAAGAACTAGCATAATGCCTCGCACTTGGCAAGTGCTCAACAAATGGCAGCTGCTGTCAGTTATTATCACCACCCTACTGTCCACCTCCACCGTCCATGGCGTCTGCAGTGCATTTGGAGGTGGCAGAGACCTGTGTCACTGGTGCCTGCCCTTACCCCCAGGCTCAGTTCCTTTGGTTGGGAGAACCCTAGCCTGGTTTCCGAGGGACTGTGAGTGAAAGGACGATTCTGTCCCTGATCTCTGGAGTCTCCCAACCACACGGAGATGGAAGTGTAATAAACACTTGGCTACAAACACGATTTATAAGAACATGAAGGTGCAAAGATAACAACAACAACGACTTTAATACAAACAAGTGCTTAGTAATGAAAGTTCTAGTTGAGGGGATTTGGTGGTAGGGAGCTGTCGCAGAAGGAGCCAATGTGTCTGAATCTGAGTTGGGGTTCAGCGTCTTATTAGCTGGTAGTGTTGGGTAAGTCACGGATGCTGAGTCTTAGGTTGTCCATATGTGCAAGGGGGGCTAAAAATAGGACCTGTTCCCACAGGGTTGTTCTAAACAAGTGTTACAGTATTTTCAAAATAGTGGAGGCTGTATCTGAGTGAGAGGTTACCCTCCTAACTACTGAGTGACTGGCTCAGGGTCCCCAGAATCAAACAGTGTAAACCCAGCAGACTTCTTTGAAGATGCAAGGTTAGAATGGAATTTAATAAGAGGAGTAGGGGATAGGAAGGGGGGAAAAAAGGCACAGAGAAGGAATTAAGATGAGGGGGAGCCAGCTGTTCAGTGGTGGCAAAACACCTGAAGGGCAGAAGCTGCTAGAAACAGCTCTACTTTTCCTTCTGAGCAGGTGAATTTCCTTAAGAAAGAACTTGGGCAGTCCTGTGTGTGTCATGGAGGGAACAGTGTTGGACAAGGGTGGCAGGTGGTTCCTGCAAGAATTTGTAGTCCTGAGTGGCAGTAGCAGGACTGCTAGGGATTGGGAAGGGCTAAATGTGAAGGTGAGGGAGGATCTATAGGTAAAGAAGACTTTGAGGTAGGAATGGAAGAGGGGACATGGGAGAACTAGAAGTGCTCCACTCTGCTGTCATAGCTCTTAGCTGGGCTGCCAAACATTGCTTGGGCTCTGGTGCTGGGGCTAGGAGGTTAAGACAGGCCATGGAGAATATAGTGGTTGTGTGCACTATGCTCACTGGAGCTGGGCTTTGCTGATGAAGTTCTATACCAGGCAGTGTCCTACACAGTTCTATGACTTTATACCACCCAGCATGGCACTTACTCTCTTGGCAGCCCTGGGAACGGGGCCACCCCCTACTCTGCTTAGCCTCTTCTCTTCAGTCTGCATGGCCCCCACTGCTGTGCTGGGGCCCTGGCCCTTCCTCCTGTCTTCCTACCAGCCAGGCTAGAGGAGGAAGAAACAGGAGAGTGGGACAAGGCCAGAGTGATCTTCAGCTGTTTCATCTAATTAACAAAATTGGGCCCTCAGTAACACGGTTACAGACCTTAATACTATGAACTCATGGTACAGTATGCAGAGCTCTGTGCTGAGTAGATGTGAGGCTACAAACACAAACAATATGACTAAAGATGCTCACTGCAATCTGGGGGAAGGTTTTGTACCCAAAGAGAAAGAATGGACAATACAGGACGTTTGAGTTTGCAGCTCCTCGGAGAGAGGGTGTTGGAGTTAAGTTTCTTATGACTTCCCCTGAAATTGTTTCCCTCTCATGAGGGGCAAATGAAAGTACAAGGCTCTACTAAAGTCTATAAGGACTGCAACGTGTGGCCAGGGGGAAGTTGGGTTCAGGGCTGGAGGGAAACAGGAACTGAGCATTCTCCTGTTGTGCAGCCTGCAGATGTGGAGGAAGTTGTTGAGAAGGGTGTGCAGACCCTTGTGATTGGCCGAGGGATGAGTGAGGCCTTGAAGGTACCCCCAACAACTGTGGAGTACCTCAAGAAAAAAGGCATTGATGTGAGGGTCCTCCAGACAGAGCAGGCAGCGAAGGAGTATGATGTCATGGTTACCCAAAGTGTCAGGGTGGGAGGGGTGTTCCATTCCACCTGCTGATGGAGACTTAAGAGAATAAATCACTATGACATGATTTAACAACAACAACAACAAAAAAGAATGGACAGTACAAAGAACTGTATGATGAGGGTAAATTGTACTGTGTAGAGACCAAACCCTGGGCTTAATGGGCTATGAGGGTTAAGGCGACTGAGTCTTGGGCTGGGCCTTGAGGAACAGGTAATCATGATAGCCCTTCTTATGTTTCTTTAGTGCTCAGGGTAATTCACACTTTGTAAATCACTTCCACACATATATCTTAAGGGAAAGCCCTTTACTCACTGAGTAGGGTTCTGACTGCCATGAATAAGATTTTCCTAGAGGCCACCTGTGTGATTAGGGTGGATGGGTGGTGGTTCACAATGAAAGAGGAGACAAGAGAGAGACAGCGCCTCAAAGAGAGGTGATGGGCATCCTGGTCCTAAATCCCAAGTAAGGCCTAACCCCTTTCTGGAATGTTCTGACCCATACAACCCTTCCCAGACCCAGGCTATAGCCTGACTAATATCCTGATGTCAGGGGTCCAACAAGTTCTTGCTATGGATGTGGGGAGTGCATACATCCCTGCAAATGCCAAGATGAGCTCTGTCTCCCCGGTCTGTCTACTTACTGCCTTCATGGCCCTGAGCTGAGGTGTATAAGCAGAAGCAGCAACAGGAATAACAGGAAGGAAGAAGGCACCGAGATAGTCCAAGTATCTGGTCCTTAAGGGAACAAGAGAGAACTGGAGAAAGAAGACTGTCAAGAGAGCAAGGGCCAGGTCCCTGGAGAAGTTCAAGCAGAGACAGACCACCATTTTATGTGATGGCAAATGTGCCTGTGTGTTTGAGGTGGGGGAGGAGACTGAAGCAAAAACTGTGAGTTGGGCCAATTTCTTTAAGTTCTTTCTGTCCCCTAGATTCTCTGCTTCTGTGGTCAGAGCAGAGGAAATCTGGGCACTTATCCAACCACTATTTTTGTGGTAGGGGTGGGAGAGCCAGCATTTCTGGGGGAGCTGTGGAATGAGCTACTCGTTTACACTTCTACTCCATCTCTAGCCCCACTTCTTTAATCTCTATATAGTATTAAAGTATTTTGTTTTCTAAAATATCAGATTGACAGTAAGTGACAAAACCAGCACCTCATTGGTCAGGTTGTGTGGGGGAGGAAGGGGGAAGAAAGTGGAATTTAATGTATTAACATTTTGTTGGCTAAAAGGATGTTTCTGAACAAATTGAACACCTTCTCCATTGACTATTGCTGGGGGGAAGCCAAACTCATTGGCAGCAAGAGGAACCAGCTGACAGCTGGGGGAAACCACCAGTTCTAAAAATGCTCAAAAAGAGGTGGGGGAGGGGAGGGGCAGCAACAATACTGTACAATTTCCTCAGACAAGACCTTATATGGGAATAGGCCCAGAGTACCTAAGTAGCTTTAGAAAGGAAAAGGAGGGAAGGAAGTAGATTTAAGGCATCCCTCACAGCCTTTGGGCAATGAGCAACAGGTCCTACAAACCCAGTAATATATAAGTACACAGTGACACACATTGACATATATGTGTCCAACTTTGTAGAGATATATTAGCATATTCTCTTGATAATGTAGAGGTGATAAGTAAGCATTGAGAAGCTGGAAATACGAGAATTGGGGCCTGAAAATGGGTCAGAGGAAATATATTAATTGACCTAATTTCCCAATGAGAATGAACAGTTCATCCCATTTATTTGTTAAATAAGCCATGAAGTTATAAATGAGAATCAGATCATGTTCTCACAGTATCTGAAAAGGACACAGATTTTTGGAGTCAGACTGAATCTAAGATTTGCAATAGCTGAGATGTAATGATGTAATCTTAAACTACTTGATCTCTGGGAGCCTCAGTTTCTTTACCTATGAAATGGGTATACTACTACCTGCCTTTTAGAGAGGTTGTCAGAATTTAAGAATATAATGATGTAAATGCTTGGCCCTGTGTCTGGCTTCTAGTAAGTGTCAATACATGTTGATTCTCTTCCCCTCAAATCTCTTCCTTTCGCTGTCCACTTCCCACTCCTGCATTAGCATTAGAAAATAATTATACCAAGGAACTTTCTAGGTCAGATGTATGATGGTTTCTTTTGTAGAGTTTGTGCCAAAAATTCTGGATTACATTCAGTGTTGAAAAAAGGGAAGGCAAGGTCTCCGTCCTCAGAGAGTACACAGTCTGGTGGTTGAGACAGTCAGTAAGACAAAAATTCCAGAACTGAGTTCTAGGTACCATGAGTGAAGGGGCATAAAATATGGGATCATAGAAGTGTTCCCGGAGGAAGTGTCTGCCTCCCTTCTAGAAGTAAGCTGTAAGACTTCCTGGTGAGTAGGATAATAGTGGAAGAAGAATTTCTGCTTGCTGGGTCAGCTCCTGGGCTCTTCTCTGTTATGCAAAATCAAAGTCAACTGAACAAACTTGAAGCTGGAGGATAGTACTGTAAGGAGCTGAGTAGGGTTAGAAAGGGTAGTTTTGGGGAGAAGCTACCATCTAGGTGGAAAATCTGGAGTGGAAGAAAGAGGATTTTAAAGACCCTGGACTGTGCATTAAAAGTGCTCCTTTTGGAGAGGGTATAGCTCAAGTGGTAGAGGACATGCATCCTTAGCACGCATGAGGTCTGGGTTCAATCCCCGGTACCTCCATTAAATACATAAATAAATAAATAAACCTAATTACCTCCCTCCCCCCAATGATAATAATTTTAAGTGCTCCTTTTAGTGCCTCCCCCCTCCCTTTCCCCTTCCCCATGCCTCTGATGTTTCCTTGAGTAACTGAGGTAGAGATTTAAATTATTTTAAATTAGTTTTTTATTACTAGACAGGGTTTCTTCTATTATGTTGTGTGTCATGACTGGGCCTCTAGGGGCCTCAGGATTTATTCAGAATATAGAAAGACAGGATGTTGTGGTGGAAACCAGCAAATTAGAATTTACGTTTTCAAGAACATAGCAGTTCTAGGTGATGATTAAGCCCA